TAGACCCGAGACCCGACCCAAACCCATCGGTTCTCGATTCGGGTACCCGTTCGGGTATTTAATTTTTGAAGAACCGCTCGGTTCGGTTCGGTTCGGTTCGGTTCGGGTTCGGTTCGGTCCGGTTCGGTTCGGGACTTTTGGACACCCCTAACGACAACTTGTTTGAGATCAGGCCTTAGGCCATTAAGGAACTGAGTGATAGTTACGTTCTAAAGTTCATCAAGACTAGAATGGTGCAACAACTCATTGAAACAAGATCTATAGTCAGGCACAATAAGTTTTGTCTAAGGTTAAGCAGACATTCTATAAGTTGAGAACGATAATAAGGCGGGACCTATTTTTCAGTGAGTTTTGTTTTCATTTCCCCCCACATAGTGATAAGTTATCCTAAACATTCTAAGTTACGTGTCATCGTCTGCCAATAACGTTTAGTAGATTTGACGAGTTTCATTTTGGCGAAACGAATGCATAGGTAGTCAGGCATGTGATACCAATCAAAGTACTCTTCAGCGGAATCCAGCCAGTCTAGAAAGGCTTCGGAGTCTAGGCGGCCATCAAATTGGGGGGCATCTATTTTTACTTTTCTAGTGATGTCATCGACATGGTCCCTATTCTGATTATAATTTGGATGAGGACGTTCAGGGCAGTTGTCATAAGGGAGAAAATGTTCAATCTCTTCGAAATTATGTAAGTGGGGCCTAGGATTGCGGAGGTTAGGTATAGCATCAAGGGTGGACGAACAATATTATGTACATTTTGACCTATTGTCGAGAATTCAGATATATTATCTATAGAAGTTTTTTCGAGTTTCTAAGTGAATGCATGAGAAGTTCTTTAAGCTATGCTAAGACAACTTTTATGGTTGTCATGCCAGTTAAGAAGTTGGCGACATGTTGGGAGAGGGCTTCATGAGAATCTTTAAGATCTTTCAAAGTCCTTTTTTTTTTGCTATTATTTTAAAAGCTTGGAAATAAAACTAAGCTACACGAATACAAAATCAAGTAAATAAAAGACAAGTAATCAAGTAAAGCAAAAATAAACCTCATCAAAATACAAAAGCCTAACCAATACAAGTCCCCCAACTATCTGATGGAGGTGACCGAAATCCTGGAGCTGTCCGATGAAGGTGTATAGGTAGTGGTGGAATTACGTGGTCAATGGCAACTCGAAATACTGTATCAGTAGCTATGAGTAGCATGTTTGACTCAGTTGGTCCGGATTGATTGCATGTCCCGGTGTTAGCCATGTTGACTTTGATACCAAGTTTAAAACTAAGGATGTTGATCAATAATTTTTCTTGCTGGGCATTTTCATTCCATATAGCTTATATACACAATGAGGAAAATTCTATTTGTACAACTGAGGTTGATAACCTCGGTTGAAAATGTAGACCCCCAATGTGAGTAGTTGTCAATCGAGGTTGTACACGTAACATGGCTCAATAAGGGAAATTCTGCACAAGCAAATACATACAAAGATCGTTCTAGAATTGGTTTGCCAGGTGACTAACTATTTTGCACACCATTCCTAAAAATTAGGACATACACCAGCTTGCACAATGAATTCTGTTATTCAGTTTATGTTGGCAATAAGATTCTAATTTTCTTTACATTTGGCGCAGTTTGATTGGTGATGACGTTGGTTTGAAGGGATTGACTGGGCAATGACGGCTTGGTTCTGCAGTTCGGGATTGTAGTAGCTAGGCTTGGGATTTGGTTTGCTAGATTAATGGATGATGTAGATATGGGTCGGTAATGGTTGTAGCTGGGTTTGTTATATGAGAACAATACATAGTTCCTATTTTTAAAGTTCACATCTCATAAATAACAAACTTCTTAAAATATTTCAAAAATCAGGTGCTAAATAAATTTATTAAATATTAAATTATAATATATTAAATATTAAATTATAATATAATATATATTAATTATTTACACCACTCCATGACACCTCACCCGCCCCATCTCCTCACTATACCACCTCCCTCCATCTCCGGCACCGATCCGGCCACTCCTCCAGCGATCACTCCGACGACTTCTTCGGCGACCGTTCCGACGATTTCAAAATTTTCATAAAATTGAAAATCACACCCCCAACCCATGGATTGGTCACAATCGGCCACAAACGGTCACAATCGGTCTCAACGAGTCACAATTAATCAGTCACAATCGGCCACAAAACGGTCACAATCGGTCACAATGAACTACCTGATAGTCAAATCGCGATCTGGATCAGACTGTTCCGACGCCACCCCGGCGACTGTTTCGACAGCTACTCCGGCGATTTCAACTTACCCACCCCATCCACCCATTCCCAACTTCTAATTGTTTTTAAAAATTTCGAGTCACAATCGATCATAATTGGTCACAACGAGTCACAATTAACCAGTTACAAACAGTTACAATCGATCACAATTGGTCACAAACGGTTACAATAGGTCACAAAAAACTACCCGATATTTGTTCACAAATGATCACCACAAACCAGCACCACAATCCACCACCAGTCATCACTACCGTCACCTCAAATAGTGGCCACACGCAGTAGCACCAATACAACCACCAACAAAAATGACCACCACCATTAGCAGTCAAATCTATAACCATCTCACAATCGCCTTCACCATCTCACCATCACAACACCACCACCTCACGTTGCCACCACTACCTCACAAGCTGAAATAGAAACAAAAACAAAACAACCCCAACACAATACAACCACCAACACCACCACAACACCAAAATGGCCACCAGATTTCTCCCATCCAGCAGAGATGACGCCTCTACACAGTGGCTCCGACTAAGCAGAACAAATCAGAATCACCCAAACTCCCTCCCCAAATTTTCTCTTTTGCCGGCGACAAAAATACCCAAACTCCTCCCTATATTGTTCTGCAACAATGGCGAGTGCACCGCCGAACAATGCTACTGCGAGTTTGCAGCAGTCTCGCCACTGTCGTTCGAAGCCGCTGTGAACGACAGAGTTCACAGTGTTGCGCAAGGAGTCATCACGCAGCGACCTACTAGAGTGATAGAGAGATCACGCACGACTATGGTGCAATCAAGGCCTTAAGACCTGAAGAATCACTGTTCATAAGCTAATTCGCATTCTCACTTTTATTCCCAAATCTCAGAAATTGATTCCTTGTTCTATGAGTCCGTGGACAAGAGATCTATAAGTTTGGGAAGATGGTCGAAATTTTCGTCAGCCCTAATAGTGAAGCAAGCAGCGACGCTGCCACAGTAGCGACGAATCCAGGTGCTGCTTCTCCGTTCATCAACAAAGCCAGGTTGTCGGTGGGTAGTGGAGCGCATCGACCACTGCATCGTCGCTGCTGCAGATCCACGGCTGGTAGAAATGGAGAGAGAGAGAGAGAGAGAGGCGACGGGTTGGGTGGTTCTGGGGAGAGAGAGAGAGAGAGGTGGGTTGGGAGAAAATGAGAAATTATCTATTGTAATTAAATTTTTATTAATTATAATTATTAAAACTTAATTAGCACCTGATTTGTGAAATAAAAATTAATCCACCTGATTTTTGAAAATGAAACTTTAAAAGTAAGTTTCTAGGTAATTTTCTCGTTATATTTTGGGTAATGGGTAGGGGTTTTATTCCAGTCAAGAGTGATGGGCCTGATGGCAGTCCATTTCCCTTCAGTTTTCCATTTGGCTGACTCTCCAGTCAATATCCGTACTGTTATTGTGAACCAGAAACCTCCCGGAAATAATTAAGAAATTGCAGTCCATTATTTAATTTTCGATCTGTACAACGTATGACTTTTCTTACTTGTCTTTATCAGATGAATAATTTTCTTTCTTATTTTAACCAATTTGGGAACAAATATTATGATTTCAAAATCCCATCTCCATGAATCATAAAATAATTAAGTTTAGCAATCTTAAAGGAGACTTCAATTCTGCCTCCCCTTAACTTGCCATTAAATCAGATTTGAAGAGTCCTTTTCAACTTTAAATTATTAAGCTAACTATTGTCCAACATCAACATTTCCAAGAGTCTTCTCTTATTGTAGTCTTCTTGTAAGAAATTCCCCTTCACTGGAATAGCTAAGATAAGATAATGTTAAAAACAGAAAACTGCGGCTGCAAAGATGAATGCTTTTATTCTTTTTGTGTTGTTTTTCACGTTTTGATGTCAGAAGTCGTTTCTGGCTTGGGTGGATGGTGGAAGGCGATGATTGGAGAAATTTTTAGATTTGAGAACGTTTAAGCCAAAGGAAAACAAATTGCTCTGATACCAAATTGATACAGGAAATGCATTTATTCTTACAATCAAGGTAGTTGAAAATGATTCCCTAAGTCCTTTCTTATGGTGAAGGACTTTGCAACTAAACAAAATTTCTTTCTATCTAGATAAACTGACATAAAAGGTTAACACCAAAATATGTGGATAAAAAGTGGTTTGACCGATTGAAAACAGGTGCCAAACAAGGGCTTAGTATTCTTACCAAAAAACGTATAGTAGTCTTTCTTTAGATATCAATTATACATAGTGAAGGAAATAATATTCGAGGAAGAGGGAGATCTATACCCTCAAAAGCTGATCAGGTTAAAGACACATAAAACTATTAAGAAACAATGTCAACATTAATGGTAATGACTTGAATCCGTGAACCTTGAACGTCAAAGATAACACAAGTGAAACATATTTTCATTAAAACTCCAATATCAACCCTTACAGCTTTCTTACTCAACATATAAATAAAGATATCTGAAAAACTTCTTCGTTTCAGTATTCTGTGATGTATTTTTCCATATTCCTTGAAAACATACGGATAAAGCAGGTTAAGAAAGAGAGAAAATGTAATGTGTGAAGATTAAATTTAGTGATAACTCGGGCAAATTTTATCAAAGCATACATTCCAAAATGCTTTTTGTCAGCATAACCCCGATTTTTGGGCTCTGTGCTAGCTTTATTTGCACACAACTTCTCAAACTCTCTTCATACATGTTCAATTCAATTAAATGAAGATTATAGATATATCTCTAGACAGAGAATAAATTTACCATCGTTTTTGTTTGAGGAGTTCGTCGTTTAGCTGTAGCAGTGCTCCCAAATCCAAATCTTGGCTTCTTTTCTGCAGGCTTCAGTATTTGAAATGAGCACATTAAAGTTTCATCCACACTCATCATGGCACCGGCATTGTCAAATTCTCCACAGTAATTTGGGGCTGAGAATATTGTGACAAGCTGTCTATCAGCAAAAAACTCGTAGCCATCTTCAACGACCTGTATTAAATTAATAGGCTAATTAGTCACAGAGATTGTATATTACGGTAGAATAGTACGAAAAATCAACATTTAAACCTGATGGGCACGGCATATAAGATCAAGATCATGCTTTTGAAGGAATTCGGTTACCGTATCAGGACCGAATGTATAGGACACTCCCCTATCACTCATTCCCCACCCTTTGACATCTTTACTGGGATCGGACCATAGGAGATCACAAAGTAAACCAGTTTCTGGAACATCCATTGGACGTTGCATATTTCTAATTTGATCCAGATCATGCAGATCAGGAGAGAGTCCTCCATGCATGCACAGTATCTTTTCATCTATAACAGCTGCCACAGGTAGGCAATTAAAACAATCTGTGAATGTTTTCCAGAGTCTCACATTAAATCTTCTTTTGCACTCATCATAAAATCCATATATACGATTGACCGATGCACATTCATGGTTTCCCCTCAAAAGGAAGAAGTTTTCAGGATACTTTATCTTATAGGCAAGTAGAAGACAGATCGTTTCCAGATTTTGCTTCCCACGATCCACGTAATCCCCCAAGAATAAGTAATTAGATTTGGGGGGTAATCCACCATATTCAAAGAGTCTAAGAAGATCAGAATATTGACCATGAATGTCTCCTGCAAAATATTTAACTCCAAAGTCAAATTAGATAGAAATTCAAATTGTTTGATAAGAAGTACAAACATATTCCAGTTAATTCAATGAACATGAGCAGAAGTAGATCAAAGACAACAGATATTTGTACCATTTGGAAGCTTTTAACTAGAAGTTCAATGTATAACAACCAACAAAACCTTATTCCATACAAACTAAAAGGTAAATCCACCAATACAGAATATGATGACGGAATACCATTTGAGGTGAGAGTCAAAACAAATTCAGTTTTTGGACGATGGAGTGTAATAAATGATAATCACATTTGTGTATCTTGATGATTTTGCCATATATGAAAAGTCTGGTTCATGTTAACAACTTCTGTCTATTTCCCCGGACAACTTAAAATGGGTTTTTGCCCTCTTTATCTACATTGTGAATATGGCCCTGTTTGGAAGGGATTTAATTTTTCTACAGTAAATCAATTCTCATTTTCAACCACAGATTCTTCAATAAAATAATATTTTCCATCACATCAATAATTTTTCCTTCTTTTTCAACCACACATTCTCTATTAATCTACTATTCTAAAATACATTATTTCAAAATAATGTGGCTCAAACACACTATAAAAACCACAGATTCTTCAATAAAATAATATTTTCCATCACATCAATAATTTTTTCTTCTTTTTCAACCACACATTTCCCATCATATCACTATTCAAAATCAATTCTTCCCCCAAAAATCTCTCCCAAACAAGCTTTATATATTTATTAAGAGAATGGCTTTAGAACTTGAAATTTGACTTCATTCTTCACCAGATCCTCAAATCTAACATTTTCAAAGCACTGTCATAGTTTCAGTTTGCCTATGAAGATGTTGAGAACTCTTTAACACCCATCCTTAAATCACTTTGATCATCACTACTAAGAATAGAACTCATTCATTAAAATTTCGTTTAAAGTAATGTGCGGATACCACATTGCAAGAAAAAAATCATTTGCAGGCAAGAAATAGGAACATCAGGCATACTCAAAACAAATCAACTTTAATATACTGGAATCACTTCCATGTTTTTGGTTTAAAGGTAATGATTAATTCTTTCAGGACTTATGTTTTTTGGTCTAAGAAAAGAAATGCATCAGAAAAATTATGGCACTTCAAATCCTGATAATGTACTGGAATCACTTCCATGTTTTTGGTTTACAGGTAATGATTAATTCTTTCAGGACTTGTATTTTTTGTCTAAGAAAAGAGATGCAACAGAAAAATTATGACACTTAAAATTCTGACAATGTACCCTTTCTATCAGACAGAAAAGGAAACCGTGGAGTTAGTTGACGCATGTAGTGACAAGGGATCTTAGATAAGGAGCCTAGACTAATGCAATGAACATAAAAGTTGGAGCATCTGGTAAACTATTACAGGATGGGAAGAAGGAAATTGATAATGAGATAGGGAAAGAAACTATAAGCTTGTTTGAGAGTGTTTATAAACGGTTTAAAATATAAATAGATAGAAATTAGTGGATAAGTAGGCTACTACTTGTGGGTTCCACGAATGTGTGGATTAAAAATGATTGGACCGTTAATAAACATTAGCCAAACATTGGCTATACTATCAAGAGTTATTTTTTCCCCATAAAGTATTTTATCACCCAATTGAAGTAATATGGTGGAGTTTATCCAGGGTCAAACACAAAATTTTTATTTTCTTTTGCATATCTAAGCAATAGGAATGCTTCCTTTTAGCAAGTTACAATGAAATTGTCCTTTTCATCTTTAAGTGGAGAAATAATTAAGAATCTGACATGAAAAATCCAACATCTTGAATTATCTATATAACGTTATTTAAACTTTACTCATAATTACACTATTTCGGAATTGTTTCAAAGTTATGTAAATGTTGAATCCCCTTATCTGATCATCGCTTAAATAATATAAGAAAATTCAGGAACATTAGATATTCATTAATCTAATCTAAAAGAAAAATTTCTTATACAACAGCTGGTGCCATGACCAAATCATTTTGCCTACACCTACAGAGAATTTTTCCATTCCTCTTCCGAAGTTTCTTCCTTCCTCCCTTCACTTTTTCCTTCTTGTCTTTTGGATAAACCGGAGTTATGAAAGAGAAACACTGTACAAAACTCGAGCACAAGTAGTCCTCAAAATAGAAAAAAACAATACATAAACAATAAATTTCTCCCATTCCTTAAAATTACAATAAACAAACTTTATTGTTCACATAAACAACACATATGGAGAGAGAGAGAGAGAGACCATCTCATAAATGCCAAGCTTCCACAGAGAACCACCAACCATTAAAGAAGAAGAATACATATAAAACGTATTCTTTGTGCCATTCACACAGGAAGAATAATCATTGAGCGGCTCTTTTAAATCCATCTTTCCATTCCTTATATAATAACATTTAATTCTTATCTAGGTTAAATACAATAGCTCCTTTTAATATGCATTTTATAGCTTATAATTTCCCATATACCATATAATTCTTGTATGGGTCAAATCCATTCTATCACTTTGTGGAATTGCTTTGATCCACCCATTCCATCACTTTGTGGTATGGCTTTGACTCATAATATCAGCCTTAACTACTAATAAAAAGAGACTTGCCTATTAATAATAAGACGGCACCATAATATTTGTCCTCAACCAAGGCCCATGAGAACTGTAACTATTATAATCATTAGATGATGGTTGATATATAATTATTTTGAACTCGACATTTGTTGCAAAATTAAAAAAATATATAATAATAATAATAAATAATAAAGAAATTCACAAATTCAATACAAGTAACGCAGAATTCAGCGATAAGACAATAGGTTCACATTTGATGTAATAAATGAAAGATAAATTTGGACGTAACAATAAATAACGAGAAAACAGGCAATGAAGGGTAGATTATGGCAACATCAAGGCTCAGGAGAACTGTAACCATTATTCTACTACAATAACCAAATAATGCTTGATATGTAATTATTTTGAGCTAGACATTTGTTGCAAAATTGGAAAAAAAAAATATCACAAATTCAGTATGTATAACGTAGAATTCAGTGATAAGACAATATGTTCATATTTGACGCATTAAATAATGAGAAAACATGCCAACAAGTGGAGGTTATGACATGTCTTTGTTAACTAAAGAGGTTATGTCATGTCTTTTCTACTCCACAAGAGTGCTGCGATCGTACATAACAGATTATAAGGAGGACCAAACCAAAATAATACGTCTTTTTTTGGTTGTCAAGGATAGTAGTTAGGGTGGTCTTGCAGTAATTATAACAATGAAATGGCAAAAAAGGATTCATGTGTCTTAGACAATCAAAAATTTATCCAAGTCAAACCCTTGTGGCTTTGTTTCAAGATTGTTGTCAACATTAGCAGTATTAACCTCAGCTCATTTACACTGATTCATCAATTTTTAGGTGCAAGATCCTCCAGAATGAATTCGATCTAATACTAAGAAGATCCGCTGTGTAAGTCATTTATTCTATTTCGAGATTGATGGGTGAAATGTTTAGTGGAAAGAAGTAAAACATGAACATGACTTTTAAAGATATTACAAAGCATATTATAGAATAACTAGGAGTGTGTTATGCAGGTATTTGAAAGGAAACTTCAATTCCAATTGCACACCATATATCAATATTACAATAAGCTTGTGTTAACATTCTACCCTGTTCTTCATCTTTTTATTTTAGTAATGACTAACCTTACGAGATATATTCAATATGCAGTGCTTTATTTTTAGTTAATAAGTCTGGAAAAGGAATAAATCATAACTTAAAACTTTGGAGGAACCAAAGAGTTTTATGTGAAGTAAAACTAAGACAGAATACATAGAACATTGTTTTAGTTTAGAGTAGAAATAAAGATGACACAGTAGTCAAAATAGATTATCATATTGTCCTAAAGAGTGATTCTCATTAAGGAAAGTGGAATTGGAAACAATAGACACAGAGAATTAGCATGAGTTAGGCAAAATAGAGAAGCTCTATAAAAGTTCTACAGAATAGATTCGATACTGTGATTGTCAAATCTACTGCACGTTATGGTATTGACTATTCGGCCATTGAAGGACAAAATGTTCAGAAGATGATAGTGGCAATCATATGGATGTTAAGATAAATATATGGTCATGTCAGAAAAGATAAGATGAAAAATTATAAACGAGCTAGAGAGTATGTGTATCAAATGCTTGTCATGAGCATGCAATATAGGAACTGCATCAGGATAATTGTCCAGTTGAAGGTATATAATCAGTACACCAACTGGACTTTATCATTGGCTTTCTAACGAAAGAATAGAAGAAATACAAAGTAGATCACCCGTGAAGCACCGACATGGACAAGGAGTAAAAACATGCAATTTTTCAAAAAAGTAGTGACACGACATGTCCTGACAAGCTAATTGAAATAATATTAATTTTTTTATAATGTGAAGTGAATTCTTTTTTGGTTAATACCGGCATGTTGACTATGAAACTACAACATGTCGGCAATGTATCTCCTGGCATGTTAGCAACGTGTTGAACCATACAAAACTAAAAAGTAATTTAAACACGCCACCGGGTGTTCTGACACGCATCGGAAAGGAGCTGTTACCCGAATATTTTGACCAAGCTGACAAAAGGAACCCAAGAAAAAAAAACTCTTGTACATTTTATGTACAAGAACTCATCAAAGCCAAGTGTCGTATCATATTCTAATCCTCAGACTGAAATGTATGCATAACATGTGGCTTCCATGTACCAGATTCCAATTTAACATGAAAGGTCAAACTATAGTTCTTTCAAGCAAATGGTGAATGAACAATTACATAATCAAGCTCATTTAAACTCCTTCAACAACTATCTCCAATCTACCAAGCATTTACGACTAAAAAGGGGCCCTCTTAAGTCTTAACTTAACCATCAAAAGAAATTTTATATTTCCATCATGTGCTCCAAAATTTAGAAACTAAGTTACAAAGTTCTCAATATTCCTAGACTCCCACTTTCAGTCATACTGCATATCATTCCTGTAGCATCATTATCCGCACTGAAAGCGCTTATTCTATATGCACAAACTTAGGAATTTCCCCAGTTGGACGTAGAAGCTGAAAATAACAAGGATCATTTCAAGTGAACTACCCAAATAAAAATATAAAATAAAAGAAAAACTCCATTCAAAAAAATAATAATAAATAATAAAAAGTTCAAAAAAAAAAATTAATAATAATAATAATAATAATAATAATCCAACTTTAACACAAATGAACATCACAAAATCACCACAAAACAACACCCAAACATAAAAAACATGGAGAAAAGCAAAAAGTCGAAGGAAAATTTACCACAGATCTTAATGGGTGCTTCAAGCTCAAGAAGATTAGCCTGTTGCAAGAAAATCTCTTTAGACTGCAAACAAAGCTGCTTGATCTCTGACTCCGAGAGCTGCACTTGCTTCCCCGGCTTCCCTTTAACCTCAAACAAACGATTAATTACATGATCAAGGGCGGCAGAATCCATTTTTTTCCTTCTCTTTACTATTTTCTATACAAAGAAAAAAGTTATAGTTTTCTTGACATCGTGTGTCATCGAGCACGAGAATCTGTCATCTGTGGGTTCTTGGAGTGTTCACGCTTTAGCTTTGTGATGTAGCTCTGTTCTTGGAATTTTAGCTATAGTTTAGAAGTTGCTTTTGGGGGGTTACATTCGTGCTTACGTACGCTTGTGGAAGAAAAGGGGTGGACCCGCGGCTACAGTGCGGATGAGTCGTCTCTTTAATATTTTAGAGGGGAATTTGCTTAAAAGGTATAGTATTTGTTTGGTAGGGATTTTTTTGGGGAAGAATTAATTTTGAATAGTGATATGATGGGAAATGTGTGGTTGAAAAAGAAGATAAGATTATTGATGTGATTGAAAATATTATTTTATTAAGAATTGGTACCAAATATAGCCATAGTGAACAATAATGTTTGATAAAAAAGTTAGGATTAACCTCCAAAGGAGTTGCCCACCTGAGTCACTGACCCTCACATGAGGGTGAATTTGACGTGGGACTCGTATGGAATAAAAAATGAAAAAAAAAAAAGAAAAAAAAAAAAAGCCCTCCTCCCCCCAATGTGTGTGTCCTGTTAGGGAGGGTGTTACATCCTCCCAACGCTGAAGCACAGTTCAATAAGTTATCATCTTGCCACAGAAATTGCTTTTTAAATCGTGGTAGCAGCCATTCTTGACATCTTATTTCACATGTGGGACCCAGTGGTGGAAAGAAACGGTCAATTTTTGGATTAAAATCTGCTTAATAGTGCTCTCAGACACCCTAGTATTTAGTCTATTTTATATATATATATAATATGTTAGAAGTCTTGAATATCCTTCATTTAAAATGTCCAATTTGAACTCAAAATTTATCAAATTCTCCAAACATAAATCTCCACTTCCATTCTCACTTTTGATGCCCAATTTAAATAAAACCAAAGACAAAAGGCATGCCGCCTCTTTAAACGTCTTGAGTGTTATTTTAACTAATTTCGTATTCGTCTCACTTTATGTTCATTCGTATCCACTTAAGAATTAATAAAAATAAGTTTTAATTATATTTGTAGTGAAATTGAAAGCATGTGACCTAAAATAGCATGTTGTCATTATAAATAGTTTAATAATGGAATGTCCGACCCAAGTGTATATAAGTTGTTACTGCATCCGAATTAATTTAGGTGACGAATCAAGGGGAAAGACCGCCACTCTTTAGGATTAGTCGGGTAAAACTTGGACACTTGAGTCAAAAAAGTAGTTTAATAATGTTTTAACTATTCATATCCATTTGTTTTTTTTATTCTCTTGTACTCACAGGAAAGTGAACATAGGCAAGTTTTCACTAGGGGTGAACTCTATTCAATTTTGACGGTTTATGCTATATTTTCAATTCAAACAATTTCAAAATCAAACCATTATTTGTAGGTTGATTCGGTTTTATTCCGTGATTTTTACATATCGATATTATAGTAATATATTTAAAACAAGTTAACATATAAATTTAAACAAAAACTTATAACGTTAAATATTAAATTACATTCGTATGTATTTGATAAAACACATACACGACATGTTGGAATAAAATCTAGAAGAGGTATTTCTACATAGTGAATGTGTCCTATAACCATGCCTGAATTTCAAGATATTCACTTCAAACTACTCTTGAGAAGATTTTGAAGAACCTTAGAGAGGGAAGAGCGATAGAGTGAGTAGAAGAGAGAGCTGAGCAAGAGAGTTGAAAAGAGATAATAGTATAAATAGAAAAAAAAAAAAAAGGAAAGTGAGAGGAAGATGATAGAAACCTCTCCACGCATATCTGAAGCAAACAGTAAAAATCAATTAATTTATCGTGTAAGAGAAGGTTCAAGGGCGAACATAAAAAGTTTAAAGCTGGGAGGCACAATTGAGCTTGCAAAGAAATTGGGAGAAATTTACAATCGAAAATTTATGTCCAAAAAAATCATACCCCATGTAATTTTGGATCCAAAAATTTACATAGGATATGACTTTTTCAAATGTAAAATTTCGAAATTTTTTTTGTCATATTCCATATAAAATTTCCTAATAAAATGTTGAAAATTATATTGAGAAATTTGTATTGCAAAAATAATGTTAATGAAATAATTGATTTTTTTATAAAGAAAATGTGAATTAAACGTCTTTTTTTAAAATTCACGTTTAACGCATTTTTACCCCCCAAGATTTTGAAGAATTTTTGTTTTATAATATATAAAGGAAAAAAAAATTGTATCCAAACCTCAAATCCCTAATCCCAAGGTCCGCCCATTTCCGAAATACCCAACTAGGTTAAGGGCTAATTGCGCAATAGAAGTTGGATACTGGAAGGCTACTGGAAAAGACAGGGAAATTTACATCTTAAAGACTTGTTCACTGGTAGGTATGAAGAAAACCCTAGTTTTCTATCGTGGAAGGGCTCCAAAGGGTGAAAAGAGCAACTGGGTTATGCATGAGTACCGTCTTGAAGGCAAATTAGCATATCACTACTTGTCTAGAAATTCCAAGGTACAAAATTGAAGATTAATATATTTTTAGACAAGTTTTAGTAAGAATTAATGTTAAATGTGCTGATATTGTAAAAATTATTGCATCATTGCATGTTAGTTGCTTTTTGGGTTGTCTGATCATAATTCATATACGGAACTTAATTATGTTCACGTTCCAAAACTGTTCTCTATCAAATCTTTGAGAAAATTAGTTTTCCAATGAATTTCCTTTTCAGAATCTTGAAACAGATGAAGGAAAATTTTTTTAAACATGATTTCCTTTTTTGGGGATTTTGGTTTTTTGGGATTTTGGGATTAAGTGTTAATCTAATATTTTGATTTTAGTGTGTCTCTTTTGGTACACTTCATAGAGAACAAGAAAGAAGCTTGGAAGATCACTGGTGAGGCAGTTGACATGATTTATCAATAGATCCCAGATGCAATATGATCATTAATTTTACTGTATAGAACAACAAAGTGTCAATTGTCATAAAGAAGTAAAAATTTGTAGAAAACTGCAAATTTTTTGTTTTGTCGAATGGTAGAATTATGGAAATAGTAACTAATGAAATTGGATGTTGCTTGCGAAAGGAAAAAAGAGAGATGCTAAAAAGAGAAATTGTTTATGGTCTTGAATTTTTTAGGAGTTGCTTATTTGACTTGCAGCGGAACTGCACGTTTAAGATCTGATTGCATAAATCGAGCTACCAGTATCTAATTTCCAGCCTATATTGATATCTCAGTTTGCGTTTCATTTGAATACTAGTTAAAAGTTTAGGATTAACAAGTTACAATATATAAGGTGGCAAGCATTTAGTCTTCAAATGAAGATGCACTCACGTGCTAAAGCGTTTTCCTATGGCTGATGAGCTTTACTTAAAGTGAGTTGTACACTTTAATTTACATGGAAATTGCGGTAGAATGACTCACAAGTAACATCGATTGGATCATTATTATTTTTTCTTATGCTGATATATTATTACTTGTTATTAGTTGTGGTCGTGGAATTATTTAGAATTTTTTCATGTCTATGCAGGTGACAATCAACTATCTACCAGGAAATTTGGGTAAAGAATATCCGTCTACTGTTGGAGCGGTTAATCTTGGAGGTGGTTCTGTACAAATGCCATAGCCATCTCTAAGGCTCCTAGGTTATCAGATGGAGAGGATATTTATGTGCAGGAAATGTATCTCAAGCGTAGAAAATATAACGTTTATGTCCACAGGTTTATCTCTCTCTGATAATTAATATTTGTTCTTTGTAGAGGATCACTTCCTGGAATAGCATTCCATGAAATACATTATACATCTCCCCCTGTGTAACTACTCTATCTCGCTAAATGATTGAGCTTTTCATTCCATGAAATTTTGATTGTGCCCCCCGTTTAAGAAGTCTGGGTCTGCCCCTAGTCTTGAACATGTCAATCTAAAGACATCCTTGTTAGATAGCAAGTACAAACAATTATTAAAATTAAATTTTTAGGCTCGTGTCTCAAAAAAAATCTCCATCAATAAATCTTTTTAGTAATGTTAATAAGTGCTTGTTTGGTAGGGATTTTTGGGGGAAGAATTAATTTTTGAATAGTGATATGATGGGAAATGTATGGTTGAAAAAGAAGAAAATATTATTAATGTGATGGAAAATATGTGGTTGAAAATGAGAATTGATTTAATATAGAATTTGAGAATAAAAAACAAACATGCCCTAAATCATTTATCTAAGTCTTCTTTATTGTTTTTGAAAACTTTTTCTTATATTAAGATAAGAATAATGTTATTTATAATCATGATAATTGAATATTGGTGATATGACATTCCATGAAATTTAGATTGTGCCCCTCCTGTTTAAGAAGTCTACTTCCGCCCCTGCACTTGAACATGTCAATCTAAATGAAAGACATCCTTGTTAGATAGCAAGGACAAACAATTATTAAAATTAAATTTTTAGACTTGTGTCTCAAAAAAAAATCTCCATCAATAAATCTTTTCTAGTAATGTTAATAAATCATTTATCTAAGTCTTCTTTATTGTTTTTAAAAACTTCTTCTTATATTAAGATAAGAATAATGTTATTTATAATCATGATAATTGAATATTGGTGATGTGACATTCTATTATATCTCACATTTTCTCTCTCTCCCCTTTTCCCCTCTCTCATAAAAATTGAACTATAAAATCTTATTATTCCAGATAGAATACCACATCAACGATACTCCATCATCATAATGATAAATATCATTGTTCTTGAGATAATTTCATCACATTTGTCATAAAATTTCAAGAATGGACAACAAGGATGCTCTCTTAGACGAAAAATCTTGTCAATCTATGGGAACATTTGTCATAAAACTTCAAGAATGGACAATGAGGATGCTCTCTTGGACGAAAAATCTTGTCAATCTATGGGATACGAAGGAATTTGTATTCTTGTTGTCAACAATAATCTTACATGCCATGATTTTCTTGGATGAAATACTCCAACGC